ATAATATGGATTCAGAACTCTACTGTATGTTTAATGGAAAAAATATTAGCATCAGAAAGAGAATTTTATGAAATATTTCCGGTGATCAGACTAAGAAACAAACGTCATCATGGCTTGCAAAATCTTCTCCAAACCGTTGTGGGTTGATGACTACATTGACTGCCAAGATTCTTCAATCATTATTATTTGCTCTTCTATGGAAAATAAATATGCAAAATAACAAAACTCCAATTTGAAAATACTGTATTTATGATCATTTGTTTAATGACAGTAAGCCTGCAGAGTACTTTTATGGCTAAAACTTTTAACACTGGACAAATGTGACGTGAATTTAACAGAAACGCCTTGTTTGGACTTTAATTTAGCATTTTATGTATGCATTGGTACTGTTGTGTTAGAGCGCATGCAAGAAAGGAAACTTCAAAATATATATTTTTGTGTTTTTTAAAATAAAATATAATAATTGATATGAATTATGCTACATTCCTAACAAAAATATTTGTTGATAATTGATTTTATTGTACTTTGGTGGCTTCAGCAGAGACCAGCCAGAAAGCTGCATTTCTGTTAAGAATTTTCTCCTTAGCAGATGACAGACTGGTAAGATAAATAATTTTCATTCCACCTTGTAGCTGAAATATGAAAAATTTGTTAAATAATATTAACAGTTATACCATGAAACAGAAACATGTTTCTGTGCCCACTGCTATCTCTTTAGCAATGACCTGCCTATATATATATAATATTCATGACTATTGGACTGCAACTATAGTATAATTTGACTGTTAATAATATTTGTAATATTAAAAGTGTGGAAGCATTCTGAATATAAGTTTTAATTCTTTTTTTAAGAAACAAAATGACTAAGACTTTAAACAAGCTTAAATGAAGACAGTGGTCAATAATATAATATAATATTAATGTAGGTAATTAGGTAAGTGAGTCCTAGACTTGTGGTTTTCAAAGCCACAAACATGAAACATTTGTTTTAAAAAAGAGAATCAGGGAATTATTTCAGTATGACAATCATCTGTTTACATTTGTGGAATGTACAGAAAACACATGAAACTTCCTTACCCATTAAATCAAAATGCAACAAGATTATTTTCGAAAAGATTTTCAGGTATGAAGCAGTAGATAGTTATAAGCTGTTTATGATACAAAAAGCCTATAAAGGACTATATATGGATATAATGATAGATATAGTTTTATGAATGTCACTTCTATAACAATTATCCAGCTAATAAGACAATGATATGGCTGTAGAACAGATGCCTGCCTGTGTCTAAATTTGACAAAATGTTTACAGATAATACAGAATCTGGGAGACTTGTTCTCTCCATCAAATATTTTATCACTAATCTACATTTTGATTTTCCTCATTCTGTCTTATAAATTAACTGCACACTGTACTTTAGTTTAGTACAACATTTCACAAAAATCTAAACATATATCCACTAGGTTGAAATCCATATGACATTTTGCACAGGAATTCATATTTAAAAATAAAATATCCTGTTATTTCATAATATGGTTGGGATAAAGCAACAAATATCCCTTATATACAAATGTACAATGTGTACAATGCTAAGTTAATAAAAATAAATAAGAGTAATCACCAAGTAGCCAAATTATCATGGTTATGGGTTGTGAAAGATGGCCATATATACTATTAAATTAATTTTTTAGGTCTATAATATTACCAAAGTCCCTGAATCAGTGCTCCTATATGTGATAAGAAATTCAATAGAAGTACATAAAACAACTCTAGAAATCCAATTGACACAATTAAAACATGTTCCTTCAGAATGTTATCAAGTATGTCTATTATTACATATTACGATAATCCTGATTCCAGCATATGCAAGGCTAAGTTTCAAAAGTTTGCCTCTTGAACTAAATAAATAAATAAAAATAACTATAATTACAGTGACAGTTGGCCTATTAGGCCATCTGGTGGAATGCTCCATCAAAATTAAGAAAAATTCCAAATTACTGGAATTTCCATGACATATATGTACTTACTAATGTGTACATGTTTTAATGACAGAGATGTGAAAACTTGTGCTAATTCACTATTATATATGTGCCTCACTTTTAGAAAGAGTATAACTTTCCAAGAAATAGTTTTAATTTAATTTCAAGAGCAGGTTACCCCGTGAGCTAACTATATGTGGCCGAAATGATGGCAGTTTGTGGGTGGTGGCAGCAAGGAAGAAGTTACAGCAGAACCTGAGAAGATGGACACTCTTGGTAGAGGCCTAGTAGGGATGCCAACTCTGAGATTTATTTCTGACTGAGAAAGAGGTTGCTTTGAGGTATGACTTGCATAGAGCAGTTAGAAGCAAGATGTACACAACAGAAATGCTGTAGTACCCAACCGGTTATACAGTAAAATCCTAAAAACTCTATTCCCATCTTTACATTGGCACAATGTCACTAGGTTTCAACTGTATCTGTACAGCACAGTGAAGATGAATAATCAAGTGTTTTCTTTAATCACCAAAGTTCCAGTGAATGTTACTTGTTCATAATGGTGATCTTTAGCATCACTGTAACCACTGAGTATTGTCTGTTTAGCTGATAGCCCTATGACCCTACAAACTGTAGTACAAATGGGATTTTATTTTCTTTGTTCACTATAACAACAAATTTTGATGATTTGTATCTTTACAGTATTATTTAATAGTATTGCTCTATTAGCTTTTACGTATTAGCAAAATTAGCTACAGCATTGGACCTTGCAATCTAACAGACCTTCAAATTCTAAGAAGAAAAATAACCCATAACAGAACAGAACAGAACATTCCATTGTAAAGCTTGGAATATAGTAGTCATCTTACTTCTTCTTGTCATATTGGTTATGGCAATGACACATACAAACAGCTGTGGCAACCAAAATCAAATTGGGAAGATGTGTTGCTCCCTGTGAAGCTCTTTGGTATTACCAAGCAACATATTTGTGCCATTCAACATATACGGACACGTGTAGATGTCTCATCCATCTTGTAGCTCAGGGCCTCGTGAAGTCAAAGTTTATTTGGTTAAGACTGAGCATTGCAGTCAAGTAGCTAGAAATCCTCTTTGATAATCATGAGGACCAAATCTCGGATCAAAGACCAGCTATCGTGATTTATGTTTCTTGTGGTTATTCCTCAGTCCATCTGGATTAATGCGGAGGAGATGATACCTTCAATTAAACAAAGACTGCTTCCTTTGACATGCTTTCCATTTACTTTTTCCTTGATAATTTGATGCTATGTAATCTCAGCTACTGAAGGCATTGCTACATAAACAAAGAATTAAGAAATACCTATTTGAGTTCTCTTTCTGTTTTGTGGAAGACCAAGGGTGGCTGATCTGGTTGCTCCCTCTTAAATCCGTCCCTGAATATATAACATAAAAATGCAGTGACAAGTCAGCTCAAAACAAACTGGTTTTAAATGAATAAATGAGGCAATAATGCTTTCCATTTGCTCATGAGTCTACCAGTTCCCTCACCATCTATGCAGCGCCTTTTTGGCAGAGATGGGCACGACAGAATAATCTGAAGGCTCACAAATGAATTGAATGAATGTATTCATTCTGCAAAATAAAATCAGATCTTTCTTTTGCAGTTCACACTAACTCAGTTGCTTACCAGCTATTGGCAGAAGGTAAACAAGAGATCCTTGGTAGTGACAAACGTTTCTATTTGAATTAATCAAATAAATTCATTGGTTATGATGATTTGTACACTGTGCCATTTTCGAGGTATTTAAAAAATTGTACCATTTAGAGAAAATGATAGATGGAACCCACCAAAATTGTTACACAGCACGTACATTTTCTAACTTGCCACTTATGTGACTGTAATCCAGAAATTTAACCCATGCAAAATGATTTTCATTTTATAAAATGTAACGATTAAAGTGGATCAATTTATCTTTTGATCTAACTATAACACAGTCTTCATCAACCATGGGCAGCGACGGGGGGAACCAATCATCTGCTGCCCCCATACTTCTGAAAAACGTGAAATTTGGAAACGAAAGTAATATACCAAAGTATTAATACAAAAAGAAGCGGTCCGGAATTGGTGGAGAAGATATATATCGCTGTATATGATGGGAATCGAACCCGGTTAGACCAGCCCATGGTATTCACTGCTGAGGGTACTACTCTGGTTCACCAGTTATAATTGAACTCTGGTGGTCCAGACAGAAGTAAGCCATTAAGCAATTACCTTAGATACCCGTATTACCTCCTACAACAAAACTCCGGCCCTTTACTCAGCAGCCAGTCACTATACTCACTGAGCAACTCTACTCACTTAGCCCGTAGCCCGTTTTTGTTTGGCCTAGCTCCTCGGGCTCATAAAGAAGTAAAAACAACAAGGGTCCTAGATCCAGTAATTTATAATCCTCGAATTCAAGTCGTGTAGAACTCAAAGTGTCCCTATTCTGCACCAACAACAGTAAGACTAAAATAAATAAATACATATATCATGATAAGACTCAGTTCTCTACGATAATTAATTGGATAGTTTTTTCTGTTGCCGTCATTTTAAATCTTCTAAATGCTTTCATTCGATTGCTGCTAATCGAGTTCGTATTCGATATCGCCCATCACAAGTATTTGGCGGCTACCGGGTGCCGAGTCCATGCAGTGATATACTAACAGCGACTTCATTACCGGAGCGTCACATATCGAGTGGAACGGTAATTAAATCACTTATCGATATATTGTCCGTCATCACAAAACAGCTCGTGTCAGTGAGAAATTTCAGGATCGTGTGTGGTGCGAGTCGCGTGCGTTTAGAATATTTTTTGTAAGGTAATACATACTTTTGTGCCGTAACATGTGAATTGCGTGTGGTAATGTTCTATCGTGATTTATCATAGTGGATATTACATTGAAGCCTTGCGCATTTGATATTATTCATCATTTTGTGATATTTATGTGAGGGTGCACAGAAAAATTAACATTGTTATACGTACAGCTACTGGAAGTACGTTTCTCTTCAAGGATATAAGAAAAACAATTTGAAGCTAAAGTCTGGCAGGTTGGACATCACACGGTATATCAGTACAGATGCAGGTAAACTCACAAACAGCTATTTCAGCCTGAAAGGGTATTTAACACTCGCTTGTTGTATGGTTTCTAGGCGAAGAAGGCATTGTTTTGTTTCCTCTGTATCCTACTTGGAGAGAAAAGGTCGTTGTAACTAAATAGGTTGGCCGCGCCATAGATCAAGCGGTTAGTCGCTGGCTTCCCACCGCGGCGGCCCTGGTTCGATCCCAGGTCTGGTCAAGTGGGATTTGTGGTGGACAAAGTGGCGCTGGGGCGGGTTTTCTCCGAGTAGTTCAGTTCCCCTGCCAATCTTCATTCCACCAATTTCTCCATCATCATAATCACCCGGGGCAGGCTACAATAGGCGAATCAGTGGCCGCCGTGCTGAGTGGACCCAGCTAGACTCCACCTCCCACTAAGCGAATTAAAAAAAAAAAAAAACTAAATAGGTTATTCAATGTCTTAAATGTAAAAAGTAAAGCTATCCTTGTAATAGGCCGTGAAGGACCATGCGGTTATGAGACATCCAGACTCCCGCATTTTCTAGTCAATCGGTTAACAGATGACGGTGAGGTCAGCCTCACGTGCCGGCCCTCTTTACCCCCAGGAATATTTCTGGTAGATGCTGAGTCGACCCCAGGAGCACAGTGCGGATGGAAGGATTAGGTCAATTGAAAAATTCAATGCCCTCGTTGGGAATCGAACCCGCGACCTTCCGGATTGTAGCATAGTGTCCCATTAAACTTGTCTGAAAATAGATCTATGCATGAATCGTGCGCACCACATGGAAGTATACGAGGGTTGACGTCTGCGTAGTTTCAGAATGCTTCGTTTTAAGGAAGCTGTTTCCAGTACCTGATGAACCTCATATCCTACCGAACGGTATGCATAAGGACGAATCCTTGAGAATTAGCTTTTAATATGTGCTGATCATTCTCCCGGGATTTTCTACTTATCTGTAGCCTCTCCTCAAATCAGAAAAACCATCTTCAACCCTGCACAAGATCGTCGGATCTTCTTATTTCTTGCGGAATTCATTTCAGATTTTCACACACTGTTACGTGATCACTTTACCGATGCAACAGTCTCTCCTCCAGCGCACATTAAAATCTGTTCAAAATTAGTTTCTAGATTGCATACCTTTTGTCTACAGAGAACATCTAATAAAATAAATTCATAATCTAGGCTATGCAAGAAAGGTGCAGGTTCCGCCATAAATTCTAAACATTTACAGTTCCTACAGAACCTGTCGTAATATCATAATTACGTAAAAACAAACAGAGCCGGGATAGCTCAGTCGGTATGGCGATTGGCTACTGGCTGGACGACCGAGATGTCAGTGTTCGAGTCCCGATAGCGTCAAGAATTTTCACTTCTACATGTCGTCCAGACCGTCTCTAGGGTCCGCCCACCCTCCTATCCAATGGGTACTGGGGGTAAATCGGCCGGGGCGTGAAGCTCACCACTCACCTCCATCTAGTACCGACGTCAAGAAAACGTAGGTATATACATCCCCCCCCCCCCGATACGCCTTCATTGCGCAGTGCTTAGTTAAGTACAGGGACAACTTTTCCTTTTTACCTTTCAGAAAGACAAACAGAACTAACAAAATAAAGTTGAAAGATGGTTTGCTCACTGAAGGACAAATCTAGTGAATTCAGTAGTTGACTTCAATATTTTACTCAGAAATCCCTTAGACGCCTTGTATAAGACACCGTGGTCTCAAGTTTCCTCAAATTCGAAAGATCTTAAGCGCGTGAATGTAAATTTTTGGAGACATAAATGCAGAACAAGTGTTACGATTTTAAGAAGTCGTTTTTGTAGTGTGTATAGGCTGTATACATTTGTCGAGTCTGAAAATAGTCGGAAGCTCCGCACTTCATGGGGAGGGCGTCCGACTCTTACGAAGAACGGCGCAATGCAATATGGGAAGTCTTGAGATGATCACACACCAGGTAGCCTCGAGAACAACACACAGACTAGTGTCAAACAGCGTGTTTCAAATTTCGTTGGAGGTCTGACTCACTAGAAAAATAAATCACGATTGTCGTTGTATAATATGTGATTAATATTTGACTTGAATTTTAAAATAACGTAACATATACAGTAATTGAATATTTCCACGATTTTTCTCTCACTCTGCCATCTTTAAATAATTAACAAACAATTNATCATGATTTCCATCCCCACCATTATCCCGGATAATCGAGAGTTGATTATAATAACAAACACAATGAAATATTCTTATATTTTTCACACTTTTACCAAGTTATATCCATTTATTTATAACATTCTTTAGTTTTATTAACATTTTGCTTTGTAGTGTGAGTTGTATTGCCCTTCCCCCGAACTACAGCCCAGCTTAATAACTCTTGTTGACTTTACATCCATGACCTAGAGTTGGAAGTACTATTTAGGCCAAGATATAGTCCCAAGTAAGGGGAAGATCATCCCTTCTTGAAATTGAATATAAAATTTACAAACAACAAGGATCAGAAAGTTAGCATATACAAGTATTTTCACAATATACTACATATAGAACTTGATTATAATTCCACCATGAACACATGAAGTTTGGTAAACAACTCCTGGATTAATTTAAGGAGAGAAAATATAAGAAATAAACTAAATATGGCCCAAGATTTATATTCATACACATTCTAGACATACCTGGAGTTGCTTTGTATAGTAAAAAATTGCATTTGCCTTGAGCACCATGATCTGAAACTAAGAAAAATAATTTTTTAAATTTAAGGATTCTGAAGAAAATACTTTTGATGTATTCATAATGATGCTGATTAGCTGTTAAGTTCTTTTAGTTGTGGCACACTGATTCTTTGGAAGACATTTCTTACATATCAAAGGAACTTTTCGTCTTCATTTTCCAACCTGAAGTTGATGAAGGTAATGAAGCAAAGTAGAGGTGCGCTGAACTTTCTTAAATTGTCTTAACATTTCTAAATCTGTATACAATTGAAATCTCTTGGAATATAAGGAAGTCTAACTGCAAAACTCAGACAGACAAAATATTCTACTGAGACTAAGCGTGCACACACTGATGAGAAATTTGGTGGAGACAGTGTAGAGAAATTGCCCCATTCTGTTCCTTGTTATGAGGCTGTCAACCATATTTAAATGCCCTTAGGACTTGAACTGCTTCAAGAAGGCCATGAGAGAGCTATATGGACTTTCTTCATGCCCATTTGTTTAGTTCAGTGCTAGAATACGCTTGGTAGGCCCTATTAATGAACATAGCCTATACAGTTGACATGCTTAATTTTTTCTTCTATAGACCACTGTATNCTTTCGTCATAGTCACCGCCGTGAAAGCCTCAAATCTTACACTGTATTCCTGGTTTCAATATTTTTATTCTCATGATTAATTTATGAGCTAAAATACTGAATTTTTGTATCGCATATTTAATGTGAGTTGTTATAACTTTTAGGGAAGTATACTTGAAACATCAAAGCTCTTTTTTTAATTTGACTTTTAATTTTGCTGGTTGTTATATTTTTTCTCTCATTTATTTTTAAATGTATTATAACCACAGTCTTGTCCATAATTCTTTCAAGTACACCAGTGTTTTACTTAAGAACTGAGGATGTATTAATATAAGTGTACTGTTGAGTGCCTGGAAGTTAGAATATAAACAATCTTAAATTAATTAAGAATTCTTACTACACTTACTTAATTCTGAAAGGTTTTATTCTCAAAGTTAACAGATCTATATAATTGTTCAAATCTGATCAAAACACAAACTATGAAAAAAGAAAGAATTTTATAAGTTAATGTTGAAGACCTCATCATTCTCAGTCAGTTGGATCTAATATAAAATTTGGATATATGTAACAAATGACATTAGATTGATTTTGTAGGAGGGCTGGAATCTTTTAGAGTAATGTGAAATTAAATTCACTGTGATGAAAACCATGCCATGAGTAGGTGATACCATACTCTGGCCGGTGTCAGAAGTTTCTGAATTTGTGTAGGATCACCCTAGTATTGGAAGGAGGGAGAATTTTTGCCAATATGTGTCACCTTGTGGGTTTAAATATTGCATAAAATAACACAGACATTGCACTTATGATATTTTCAACATAGTATAAATGTGTTCATTTTCGTAAGTGTCTGAAATTTGTAACTATACTGCTCTGATATTAGACGATGAACTATTAATAGTAGCTCAAGAACTCATCAAAGTAATGGGCTATTGCTTGCTCTTCACTTGTAATATATGTGTAGCTGTAATGAACAAGAGCGCAGGGTGGCAACAATAAATGACTGTTGAAGGTATGCTTGAATCAGTATTGCAGCACACACCTTTGGCAAAATGGAAGTTTTGTAGTGTACCTCCAGGTACCAGCATTGCATAGTGCATACTGTTATTCTGTCAAGTTTAGTATATTGGTGTATGTAACTCTCTTTCCATAACTTCTCAAGTTATTGAACTCAGACATTTTTTATGAAGTTTGTTTATATGAACTAAGAAGTTGCATAGATTTATTTCCTGAAGAGACTTTATATTCTAACTTCATCAGTAATTAAGATCTAGAAGTCTGTCATGATGGTATATTTACAAGTACCTGTATTTCTGGACATTATCCATCACCCTATTTTTACCTGTTAGAGCTAGATAGAAACTGGCTCTTTTGATTGGGTCCAACTGAGTATGATCCACCTGAAGATGGAGACAAAATCCAGGCCCTGAAACGTTGTGTGTTTATAAATAAATAAAAACAGGATGATCAATAATTCCAAGAAACGAAATAACTGTTTCAATAGTAATGATGCTGATAAATGCAACAATTTCCCATAGAAATTTCAGTGCCTTTTATGCTAGTGATAACATAGAAATTGTTTTCAGCTGCTAAATTTATAAGGAACACACTTATTAGATCATAAATGACAGAAATTTGTGTAAACAAGTTATATTTTAAAGCAATGTATGTGATCTCTCTTGTATAAATATTCTGACTGATATTTAAAGAAACTTCCTTGAGGGTATTTTAAAAATGAGGCAAGCCCTATACATATGCCAGACTTTATTCCATCTCATTATTATTTTTATGTGGCACAAGAACAGGAAATTCCATGCACAAGTCTTAGAGCAAATATGTTATTAATCTGGAAGATTATGCCATTATGACATGGTAAAACACTAATTATTATTATATTACTTACCATACATTAATCTGATTTACCTTGTTAAGGAGAGAACATTTATTTTGATTGTCAGCAGTTGACTTGATTTGTTGACTACCACTAAAAGAAGGGAAGGCTTGCTTGGAGCGGAGGTTGCACCTTTCAGTTTTATCTCAAATGACATATGTGCATCACAAATATATATTGTATTTACAACTAATACATTGGCAAGCTATTTCAATCAAGACATTGTATCAAGACCAGCCCATTGTAATTAGTTTTGTTACTGACTCAAACGATGAAGTGGAAAGGTTCTGCTAGGGGACAGTATCATGCAAATACTGGCAAAACCAGACATGATATGATTGCAGGGGTCGTTAGTTGTATTTGAACTTCCCTTGAACATGTTTTCATAAAAATCCAGGGGTGAAATGGCTTTTCAGAACTAGGTAGACATTCCAGACCAGCAGAAAAGCCAAGGGAAATGTTCAACACATTAAAGGAAATTATTATAATGTAGGCTTATGAATTTGTTCCTGCATGTATCATGTATCCACTCCCCCATATGCCTTCATGGCATAGTGCTTAATTAGTCAGTTATCATGTATCGTTGTTGGGAATGACAGTTATGATGTCTTAAGGCAATGGAAACAGCTTCCTCAAAATGAAGTATTATGAAACTAAGTAGATGACATCTACCCATTTCTATTCCCATTTTCAGCCCTGTAAGAATAAGGAAATTGGATAATTTCAGTTTATGTAAAACAGATGATCTAAAACCAAGTGGGATGAATTAGCAATTGAAGCAATTGCCAGTGACTTCAGAGTGACATAATTACAGAGGAATGACCATAAGATGAAGTCTTCTGATGGATGTACTCCTAAGCTTCAACAATAATTAAAATGCTAATTTACAAGTAACTTGAAGCAGAGACTGTTAACATTTAAATTTTACCAAGAACAGGAAACTGAAGGAGAGAAAAATCATGCAAAATCATGTCTCAGGTCAGTCTAGATATAGAAATTAGTGTTCTGGAAGTAGTCTGGAATACAGTAACCATTGAATGTTTTGAGCCAAAATCGCATATTCCATCATCTTCATCAACTGTTGCAATATACATTTCTTGGTTCATGATACAACATTAACTAAAAGCAAATAAATAAGTAAATAAAATATGAACATATTTTATAAATATGGCCTCCTTTCTCATATTTTTCACATTTAAACCTTCAGATGAAGTAACACTACTTCTCAAATATCAAAAATCTTTATATCTAATTGACTCAATATACATTCAGATCTGCTGTGACAACCTAAAACCTCCCAAACCAATCTCACTATCGAATAATATTGCTGGTAATACATCTGATCTTGGTCCCTGGCTTCTTACAGCAAAGCTTTATAAGAAGATATACTAAAGTGTGTAAGAACATGATAACTAAAGAATAATTCTGCAGTATCCAGATATTGCTATATTATTATATGTTAATATAGTAAATACTCTTTACCTTTTATAATACAAATATACTAACACAATAAATTAACATTATAGCATTATCCCAAAGCATGGATTATGTTTACTTGGCAGGTATAATGAAACTCAGAGATTTAACATTAAACCCCTAAGTTTCAAGTTGGATTTGCGTTTTCATTGATCGGTCAATTTTCAATGAAATCTATGAGAAAAATAATGTCGTCTGAACACAGATTTGCACTTCTAAGAAATTGATGTAAATTATTACATATTTGACATTACCTGCTATGCCCAGTGTATGACAATACACCTAACATGAAAAGGATGGAAGTGGTATTCAACAAACCAACATCATGGGGCATAATGGCTTCAAAACTTCCTTCATTAGCTTCAGCATAAAAGAACCGGTTCTCTTTTCCTAAGCTTCAGCAAACCCAGTCCAAGATAAACTGTTTCATCAGTACCTTCAGTTGTTTCATTCCAAAGTTCTGCAGAATCATGTAAACTATACCATATTGCTAGGATTTGTCTTGTTTGGTTCTTCCAGGTGAACTGAAATACATGCAGGTATCAGTAGGTACAAGTAAGCTGAGGATACAAGCCCATTTCTATCCTTACTGACACCAGCAAAATGATGAGGTAGACAGTAATAAGTGGTGGAATGTGTCATGGAGAATCATTTGAGTCAGAACCAAGACTGTGAATGGGGAAAAGTGGGTACCAGCCAGTAGTGAGGTGGGTCAATTGTATCTTGTCCAATGCAACTTCCGCACCACCAATTCCCTGGTTATGTTCAAATCCCTTTTGCCGCTCCCAGAGCATAACAAGCAATGAACGACCCAAAACATCACAAGCTGAGTAACGTAGTGTTTGGCGGTACTGAGGGTCATTGCTGTGTCTCACCACTCTTGTTTTTCTCTTCTGCAGCCATCGATCACCATCTCGGAGATATGTCTTCACATACGTATCTGTACCAATAGACATAGAATTACCATAAATTTAAACAAAGGGCGAATATAATATAAAGGTAAACCCATGCTAATGAGTGCCAGTATGACAGAAGTAATAAATATGATAAATATGATAAATCTAATTTAATGCAGGGCCCATTTATTTTCATCGCAGATGTCAAGATTGTGAGCGAATTAAAAATAACCTATGTATCTAGAAGGGGCATGGTGTGCGGTAGCGTAGCTGGTTGAGGCACTATGCTACAGGACGGAAGGCCGTGGGTTAAGATGAAAGTAATATTTGTAGTTAAATCTTAGACTTCCTAAAGGTAAGAAGGAGGTACCCTGCCCCGTAGTGCCTTTTTTTTATGTCATACCTAATTCATTACAATGCAATATTAATAGTTGATACAGTGGTACAAAATAGCCAGTTAGAGTTCATTAAAGACCCTTAGTTACCTGGCAAGCTCTCTCTCGCTTCACAGGCGATGTTGCGAGCACACATCACCTCAACCTCTAGTTGTCCCTTCGTCATGAGCAGACCCAGTTTGATTTCTCCATAGTGGCCTGTGGTCAGGCGGTAGCCGCGTGGGTGAATCTGCCCCGGTCCCAACGTCACTTCCGGTAGCAGCTTCACGTCGTCATCATCAAGAATGGTACCTCCAGTCACTGCTCCACTGAAACACGTTAACATTAATTAAGCCAGAGGCATGCCGTAGACGCGGTATGTGGTCCTCCATTTTGTTTCGGAGACTACGAAAGCAAAGTATGATTTAATAAGAATTTAAAACTTCCGCAAAAGTATGTATCTATGTAGAAAATTTCGACTATTCTGAATATTTTCTAAAGTGCGAAAAATATTTCCAGTGTTCGAAAGAATGAAATTTTGCGAAAGTAGGGACATCCGAAAACTAGCGAAGTTTTGGAATGTAAGGGAAATATGAGATTAGCGGAATTTTCTAATTGAAAGTTAATATAAAGACGGAAATGTCGCGAAACTGAAGATTCTGAAGTAAACGAAAAATTTGGAAGTTTAGAAACTTCACATTGCAATAACTTGGTAAGATAGCAGATTCTATAAATATGGCAGTGCACCGAGTTCAATCCGTGAATCAAGGTAGATGCTTAGGATGATGAGAAATGATCTGCTGCGCAGATTTAATCCGACAGCTTAACCTGAACTAATTAGCGAATCCCTCGAGGTATGCCCGGGAGACAAGAACGGACAAGAAAGATGTGCAGGAAGATGCGCAGCGGTCTGTTGCGCAAACCTAACCTGACAGCTTAATCTAAATTATTACATGAATCCCTCGAGGTCTGCCCGAGATCAAAGGAAGATGTGAAGGATGGTGCGCAGTGGTTTGCTGCGCAAACCTAACCTGACAGCTTAATCTAAATTATTACATGAATCCCTCGAGGTCTGCCCGAGATCCAAGGAAGATGTGAAGGATGGTGCGCAGTGGTTTGTTGCGCAAACCTGATAACAGAACATAATTTAACCTAGCGTAAAGGAATCGCTTATAATTTTTCCCAATAGTGCCCTGGTACGCAAGAGGATATATGGACAAATTAGTGCGCAGTTAGAAGAAGTTGACGCTGTTTGGGTTGGTGAGTTAAATGCGCATAACCCAACGTAACCGATTGTGAACTGACATGACTGTCTTGAACACACTGGAGAATACGCAAATTTCGTACAGATACCTTCTCCTGAATACTATGGCCTAACCAATTCTAATATATTTTGAAAGACTGTCTTTACCAGAAGAAATTGACAATTACATATATTGTTTAAATTTTGAAAAATTTTCAAACTAAAATGAGGTAAATTCGGAATCTAAGATGCCGAATATATTACTTTCCATTTAGCTCACGAATTGTAATGTGAAGTAAATTAAAACATGCAAGAGTAGAGCATATTTTGTAAAAATGTATCCAGCTGCAAAGAATACACTATCGTGAAACTGTAAAGAGATTGTCGTAATTGTGTGTTTACAATGCAAAGAACCGTGGAATGCGATTCAAATCTGCAGACCTTAGTAACCTGAAAGACTGAAATATTTGAAGGGGAGCAGGCAACATCACTTACAGAATTTCGTGCCGTAACTATAATATATGGAAATTTTAATTTAAATTAATCGTCAAATGGTGAATTAATCTCTTACTCGTATTTGTTTATTTAACGACGTTTTCAGTACAAGACGTCAAATGACAGAATGTTCAATGAATGATGAATTGTAAAGAATGGGCAAGTGCTCGTGGCCTAGTTCAAAGTACCATCCCGGCTTTTGCATGGAGAGACTGAGGAAAATGATGAAAAGCTCAATCATGGTCGTCGGTGTCCCGACCGAGATTAAACCTATAGTTATATATACTCTCATAGACAAAGAAGAGGAAAGTTAAATTTCAAGCTTATGAAGAAGTACGAGTACTTGCTTTAAAATTATGATCTGCTTGGATGTGACACAATATAATTTGCTAAACGGGTATCAACTTTTCGGATGATCCTGCTACTTCCATTTTGTACCCTGACGGTGGGGAGAGTAGGTCTTTGAGAAACGTTGGTAGAAAATACCAAATACACGGCGTCACATCCCAGAGGACCATTATCTTAATCCTCAGCGTTGTGAAGGCTTCGATTCTCAGAAGCGATTGCTTACCTGGTCTTATCCTCGTCTTCTGATGAAGTATTGCAAACAATCCCTTGTTTTTCTGGTAGATCCAACATGGATTCTCTCCTGTCCTTGTGCCCTGAAGCAAATCAGAGAAACAAGATACACATCATATAAGCCGAAGTTTCCTTTTATTGGTATATTTGTCTCTTATCTAAGTGGTAACATATTCATCTTAACTGCACTTTCACTTTATGCGGCACTGGTAACATGGATGTGAAGGGGACAGACCCTGTCCGAGTACTTCTCTGTCACGCCTGGAGCTTCGCTTCCGCGATTATTATGACTAATGTTTTGGTACATGGGTAATTTTTCCGGTTTGTTTTAAAAAAATTGTAAAGGTAAAGGTAAAAGGTAAAGCTATCCGTGTAACAGGCCGTGAAGGCCCATATTGTTGTGAGACGTCGAGACTCCCACATTTTCTCTACAAAATCGGCTCACAGATGGCGGTAAGGTTGTCAGCCTTACGCGCCGGATGCCTTTTACCCCCTAGGAAGATTTCTGGTACTCATTTCCGTTAGAGGCTGAATCGACTCCAGGGCCATAGTGCGGCTGGAAGGATTGGGTAAACTAAAGATTCCACCTCATCGGGACTCGAACCCACTACCTTCCGGCTTGTAGCGTAGTGCCTCAACGAACGACACTACCGCATTAAAGAGGATATTAAACTGTTTGGTTAATATGCCGGCCTTGACAATTTTTCTGTTGTACAGCGTCCTGTCGTCGATCACAGTGGCCGCAGGGTCTAAGGCATGAACTGTCTTCTCTCACTCGAACACCGAGGTCGTGGGTTCGAATCCGACTCGAGGCATGGGTGTTCGCGTTTATTCTGTTTGTGTTGTCGTGTGTACGTAGCGGCCTTGCAACGGGCTGATCCTCCTCCCAAGGAGTCCTACCGGCTGCTTTCACGATTGAGAAACTGTAAACCAGAAGCCAACGTTCATCATGGACTGTAGCTCCCACAAAGTAATAGCATAACGTCCTGTCATCTCATTATTGATCGCTTCATGCATTATATTGTTGCCGAGCAGCAATACAGCTGGGAATATGCTACGCTTATTTTTAATCATTCATGGTTGCGAAGTTATGAAACAGTGGTGGACATAGATAATTTTTACATTTTATAAATCTACTATGCTCAGGTAGGAATAAGACTAAAAAATATAGAAAACTGAACGAAAGGATTGTATAAGTTTGTAGTTACATATACCTATATGTGTGTGTGTACATTGGCCGTAACTAATAACGCCACAGTAAAGTTAAATTTTATTATGATTACAGAACAACCAAGAATGTATATCTATGGATCTTTTTTTTTTACTTCGTGGATACTTTCTTAAGTCGAAAATTTATGCTAAGTCAGCCTCTGTGGTCTAGTGGTCAGAGTTCCTGCCTACAGATCCAGAGGTTCCGGGTTCGATTCCCGGCGCTACCAGATTTTCTGAGAAGTAGTGGGTCTGGAACGGGGTCCACTCAGACTCGTGAAGATAATTGAGGAGTTATTTCAAGAAAATAGCGGCTCAGGTCTAGAAAATCGAAATAAAAGGCCGTGGGGATTCGTTGCGCTGACCTCGCGACACCCTCTATCCGCTAAAGTTGGCACTAACTTCGCCGACAAGCGGCGGTCGCTAGGTCGGTCATACATTGGTTTTTAGGCATCTCATCATATCTGTTAGGAGCCGGGATAGCGACTGGCTACAACTGGAGGCCGAGGGGTCGGAGTTCCAGTCCCGGCAGGAGCAAGAGTTTTTTCTTCTCCAAGTCGTCCAGACTGACTCTGGGGTCCACCGAAACTGCTATCCAATGGGTACCGGGAATTTTTCCCCGGGGATAAAGCGGCAAGGGCGTGAATCTGACCACTCACCTCCGACTAGTGTCGAGGTCAAGAAAATGTTGATCTATAAAGTCACTCCCACATACGCGTCATGGCATAGTGCTTAATTAGTTAAGCGCAGGGACAGCTTTACCTTACCATCGTATCTGTTATTTATCATCTGTAGGAAGTTCATCAAACTGTGCGAACCATTAAATGGGAAAACTAAAATTTGCATAGGAAATGGCTGGAAATTTAGCAACAAGTCCTTTTACGGCTGCGTACTTTTGAATGTTGCCAATGGTTCATCCCATTTGAAGATGAATATACTTTCACATAAAATCGTCTCTTTGTTAGAAAATACTAGAACTAAATTTCAAAGACATGTGAAGTTCAATTTTCATTTTACTGTGTATTTCACTGATATCGCAACACATTTTTCTGGTTTGCCATTTAATTTAGAAGGACAGTCCATCCCTAAACATTATTTAATATCACCATAACATTTAAATAGGTTTATGTAGACGTCAAAAATCAGTGTCAGCATTTATTCAATACATTAGTTGTGTGTGTACTATTGTTTTTTATTGTGTATTATGTAACGCATGTGAAATTTGGCATTATTTAAAACAGAGCTTAGGGGTTATGGCGAACAGACTGGTCACTGAGAGGGTGTATGAACTTCATATTAGGTTGATAATGCTGCTAATGAGTTTAGGAAGTAAAGAAACATTGCGTCGAACTGAGACATAAGAATGTAATTGTTTCTACACGTTTGTGATAACATATATAGCCTATATTTCTTACATGAAAATTTTTGATTGAAAAAAGATAGTTCTAATATAAAACAATTGTAGATCATAACTAAACCAACATGTAATAAATAAATGTAAATACATTTTAATAACACTACCATCTGTGTACATTTAAATTGCAATGCAAAATATACTAGAAACTGGAACATTGTTTCCATTCCAACCGCACGCTTGTGTACACGAATGGCGGTGACGATCCTCTACAGACATTTGCTTCCGTCTCACTGTCCACAATTGGGGGTCAGTCTTAACGTCACTATACATTTATGTGGTTATATTAACAGCATCTGAGCTACATAAGTGACAGCAAGGCATTAAACACTCAAGCTTTACAAACTAACTATTACACTATTGATATACATACATTTAATTAGAACTATCTGAAATAATGACAACACATACAGGGATACATCATGGACTTTACGCTCAATAAAACACAGCTTATCACACGAAGACAAGACAATTTCAAATAGCACAGGAAAACATGTTACAGGATAAAAAATGAGTCTGATAATGAAGCAATTTACTGCCTGTGTAAGATTTGAGGCTTTCACGGCGGTGACTATGAAGAAAGCAGTCTGCTTTACCGTTTCTCACGGTGTTGTCGCTTGCAGATTTCTTATACTTTTTCTTCTACCCTGAAGATGGGGGCGATACGTTCCTCCGAAACGTCGGTTAACACCACATATACACGGTGCCAAATCCCAGAAGACTGCTTTCTTCAATTTACTGCCTGTTAAGGAAATATTATGTCGCTATGTTTGGGTTTCAAAATCCAGAAGGTGTTTTACTACTTGAGCGGTGGAACCGAATGTCATTGAGAATTTAAATTCGCGTCTAGTTAAAGAGGTGACTAGTTTACCTCAGCATTTCAAGGTTGTTATTGAAACAAAAAAATATATTTTTGGTATTTTACGACCATGCCAAATCGCGTAAGTTAAACAAATATATAGTTTTATCGTTTGAAATTTTACGAGTTACGAAAGAAAAACCTGACAGTTTATTAATGTATAAAAGTTGATTTTAAACAAGTTAGCGGTATGGGAGAGTTCAGAGATGCGTGCATAGAAACACTCCATTCAGAAGAGTAATATTGATCGTACAGTTCGTAAAGTTTGTTTTACGTCTAGTGTAGAAAAGATCATATCTCCTTATCGCTAACAACGTGAAAAGAGCATCCCAAAAATTTCGTTACATCACTGGAGATATTTTCATCATACTGACTTATTTTAAATTAATTGCCGTTTTTACTTATTTTAATTTAATTTAGTAACACATGATTCATGGGCGCAATTTACTTTCTTTCTCTGATATTCAGTGCAATAGGAAAGTTTACTTAAAGAAAACGAATTAATGCAAGGCATGTATTTGGAAGACGTGAAGAAATGTAGTTTTCTTATATACGATACTTTAATTAATAAACGAACAGAGGATATTTCATGATGCACATGTTGCTTCTGTATATTGTTACTGTCTGATTGATAGCATTTAACTTACACAGGTCCAATAATTTGCAATATTTAAATATTTAAACAATTCTAACAACTGTAAACATTTTTCATACGAAAGATTTTTATATCTGATTATCTCAAGCACAGTTACGATAGTTTAATTAATAGTGCCGACTATTACCTTGCTGTATCTACCTCATAGTAAAGAAAAGTATAGCTATCACTGTACCAGGCCGTGAAGGCCCATAGGGTTGTGAGACGTTGAGAGTCCCACATTATCCAGACAATCGGCTCAGAGATGGCGGCAAGGTTGTCAGCCTTACGCGCCGGCCGCGCTTTACTCCCCAGGAAAATTATTTAATTAATTCCTGGTACGCATTTCTGTTAGAGGCTGAGTCGACCCCACGGCCATAGTGCGGCTGGAAGGATTAGGTCAACTGAAAAAAAATCCAATGATCTCATCGGGACTTGAACCTGCGACCTTCCGGCTTTAGCATAGCCCCTCATGCTAATGTTATATTTCTTACATCTTAAATTAGAGACATACCGTTTCCTGAGAAGTGATTCCAAGAACTGAGTGAACCCAGGGATGTTGCGAAAAGGGTCGTGGGGAAAAATATGAACATTAATGTAGAATTATTTTATGGTTTATTCTAAGACAGCGTCAAAATCTTAGATTTCTTTGCGCAAGATGAGTGACTGATGAATAATAAATTGGAAAGATTATAGAAAGAAGCGATCGTTGCTTAATCGGAATTCGTCTGGAGGGACTGAGGAAATCCACGAAAAAGACGCGGCCAGGATTTCCGGGTTCAGGTCTAAATTCGAAGCAAGATCCTCCTGGATATAAGTATAAAGAATTACCGCTACGCCACAAACCTATGCGAACTTATAATGATTGGTATGACGGACAGTACCCAATTTCAAGATTTTGAAATGAGAGCCAAGTTTTTAACAAATTTGGTACCGCGTACTTAACTGCATATTCGCAAGTGGATGA